GGGGTCTGTGTAAAATTATGATAGGTAAAAAATTGCTATTAATTTTAATTTTTAAAGTTTCAATGTTATTATTTTAAAGCTGGTACCGCGCATATAATATATAAATAATTACATATATATATATATATATATATATATATATATATATATATATATATATATATATACAAACACTTTTCCCCCCACACACATAGATAGATAGATAGATAGATAGATAGATAGATAGATAGATAAACTTTATTTCAATCCTTCATTAGCTTGCGATCCTTAGCTAGGATCAATTAATGATGAACATGTCATTTTCGTTTATGAAACTTTTGAACCAGAACTCCGAAGTCTTGAGTCCTTGTATATATATTAGGGAATTCCCCGTAAGCACATATGAGGCTGGATAATAAAAAATTACATTTCAATCAACCCCAAACCGATATAGTTATAATATCTTTGCTTTTCTTTTCTCCCCTTCTTCTACTCCTCCTTCTTCATATACTCCACCTCCCTTTCTATTACAGCCAACGTCGTGCGATGTTTTTTTTTTTGTTTTTTTTAATAATATAGCCTTCATCAGTTTTTTAAGATATCGTAAGGTTGAAAACAAAAAAGCGGATTCAACTGATCTCCTGATTTTTTAAATATATATATATATATATATATATATATATATATATATATATATATAAAAAAAGGCTTAAACAGTAATATTCCATGGTCATAATTTATTCCATTAGAATCGTAAATACGATCCAATTCATCAGACCTACAAATTGAAAAAGAAAACAGAAAAAACAACTCCGGAAATAAAAATAGAATTTAGAAAGTGTGTAAGTATGAGAGTGTGGGACGAATGTTACAGCTATAGAGAGGAGTAACAGACGAGAGAAGGTGGGAGATTAAAACTTAACAGAGAGAAGTTTTAGAGAGGGGAGTCAAAGACGGTTTAAGTGAGAGAAACATGAATGTTGTCGGATGTCTAATACATTAAAGATGTAACCGGAAAGGATATATTTTGTGGTGACATACACACACAATAAACAATCTAATCTTAAAGATCAGAAGAAGAGGGAGGGAGAGGAAAAGAAAAGAAAAAGGAGTGTAATTAAGAAAATTTGACAAAATCGACTACAGGTTACAAGTCAAATATAAACATATAAAAAATAAATGTAACGATTATCTAATCGAGCAAGGACCTATATTTTTATGTTCAAAAACACCTGCGAATACACACATACACAATAACATATACACGCACATACATACATATAGGCATGTACCCACATACACACATACATATACCCATGTACACACATACACATATATCCACATATACACACATATATACACACATACAATAACATATACATATTTATACACATACATACATACATTTAATATATATATATATATATATATATATATATATATATATATATATATATGGCTCTCCCCGTCAAAATCGACGTATGAGGGTCAAGCAGCTCAGTTCCTAGGAAACCGACAGCACGACAACAGCACATGAGGTTGGATTATAATGGTGAAGGTTTTGGGCAGGACCATCCACACTTTTTGAAGGGCCGAATACAGAGACCTGGTGCACTACGTGCCACAAGGTCCCCAAACGACCCTCCGCAGGTTTTGAGTTCAGAGTTGTCCTTCTCCTAGACCAGTTGCCATCAAAGGCTATAGAACCCAGTCTGCCCTGCTATTTTAGCAATAGCTAGAGAGGGAAGGAGAGGATTCATACCTTTCCCAAATGTATTAGGACGTAAGTGAATATATATATATATATATTTAAGTGTGTGTGTGTGTGTGTGTGTAGTAAGGGATAGCAGCTTGGATTGAGGAATGGGAGAGCCGAGTTCGAATTCCAGTTGAATCCATTACATTCACTTCCGTGCTAATACCCTTGCGAAAGGTATGAATCCTCTTCCTCTCCCTCCAGCTATGAGTAAAATAGCAGGACAGACTGGGTTCTATAGCCTTGGATGTCAACTGGTCTAGGAGAAGGACAACTCTGAATTCAAAACCTGCGGAGGGTTGTTTGGGAACCTTGGCATTCAGTGCACCAGGTCTCTGTATTCGTCCTTGGGCTGTCGGTTTCCTGGAAACTGACCTTCTTGACCCTCATACGTCGAGTCTCGACGGGAGAGTCGATTATATATATATATATATATATATATATATATATATATATATATATATATAATTATTTATTTAAAATATGATTCTACACGCTACATAAGAGGTCTCATAACGAGTTCTTTCCTATTTTCTATATATTTTCACATATATATATATATATATATATATATATATATATATATATATATATATATATATGTTAACCGGTATCATCCCAAGCAAAGCAGTAAAGCCACTAAGACACAAGTGATTAAAGTGTATGGAAGAATTAGGAACAGAAACATTAATAATGAGCAGGAAGAGAAAAGAGTAATCAGGAGGACAGTAGATAGTGATGGACATTGCATTTAAACTTTTGCAGATAAAAGTTGGTTGAAAAGCATGAAGCAGGAGTTCTACAAGCGGAAATTGAGAGAAATGAAACAGTTTGCATCAAACTTACGTCTACATCGACCCAGATTAACTGTAAATTGATGAGATCATGACACCAGTCTAGTGCTGCGCTTAAATTCAAAAACTCTGGGTCCCATAGCGATGAGTTCATTCGAACAATTACCTTGAAATTATTTATAGAAAATACATAGAGAAGCTATATATATATATATATATATATATATATATATATATATATGCACATGAGGTGTTTTCATTTTTTTAGAATTAACGATGTCCAATCCCTAGATAGATAGATAGATAGATAGATAGATAGATAGATATGCGTGTATATATGGATACATTTCCCCATGTTTGACTTCTGCAGATATCATCTTTATTAATAATTCTAGGAAAAAGCAGGGCGGTATGTGAAAATATAGTGTTTAAAAAACAGAAATATAAACTAAATACAACGTTTATATATATATATATATATATATATATATATATATATATATATATATATATATATATATATATATATATATATATATATATATATAGAGAGAGAGAATATGTGGTCAATACATATATATATATATATATATATATATATATATATATATATAATGATAATATTAGTGGTCTCTCTCTTTTTCTCTCTCTCTCTCTCTCTCTATATATATATATATATATATATATATATATATATATATATATATATACCTAAATTTCCAAGAGGATAGAATCCAGGTAGAACTCAATGTCCAGGACAGAGTAAGAATATAATATAAAAGGTTCAAACACTAATATTCCATGGTTAAAATTCATTACATTGGAATCGTAATCAGGATTCAATTCATCAGACCTACAAATTCAAAAAGAAATAACTCTTTTAGATACAATTACCTTTCTAAAATCCCATACATACAAAGAACTCATCCGAACAATTACCATGAAAATATTTCTAGAAAAGACATAGACGAGAAATCTTAAGGCGGTGGGTAACTGACTGAAGACGAGTCGCCAGGTGAGGACCTATAATATTGCTGATTCTTTTGGGAATATTATCAAGGAGGTAATTAGCAGGAGCACTGGCAACATATGTGACTGCAATATTCGAAGCATAGACGGAGGTTATATTTACAGATATGTAAGATAGATTCTGGAGAGAAAGATTGTTTCGCCCGAAATAGTGAACTAATTTTTTAGCAGCTGACCTAGCAATGAATTCAATATAGTCTTCATCTATCTTTAATATCATACACAGACACACCCACATACACACACACACACACACACACACATATATATATGTGTGTGTGGCCGCGCGTGTTTATTTCATCTACCGGCCTGTGTATTTGAGAGACTCTCATAAAAAAAAGGACTGAAACCTCACCCACACTTCCTAAAAACAAACGGTACAGGAAATAAATACTTTTTAGAAAACTGTCTACTCAAATACGTGTATCCTCTAAAAATAAATTTTGAACACATATATATATATATATATATATATATATATATATATATATATATATATATATATATATATATATATATATATATATATGAACATTAGTTAATAAAATGAACAGGCTACCACCCTGTCTGAATGATTGGATTTCTCTGTATCCTTGGAAACAGGAAATTATGAATTTATATGTGCGTTTAAAACTCAGTAAATTTAAAAATAAGTTATTCCAATATTCGCTTAAAGATGAAACGGAACTAATGCCTTTAATTTAATTACAAGATTAAATTTGAAGTTTTTAGCTTCCATTTTTGAAACATGGTTATTACTGTGTAGCGAAAAAACATATTTTAAATCTGTTAATTTATAATATTTATGCTCTGTAAATTTACATTGAGCACTGTTTTGTAAAAATAAAAATAAAAAATATCAATAAGAACACCGGATTATATATCTTACTGTTCTTTCTTTTTATTTATATATATATACATATATACATACACACACACACACACAAATATGTATATATATATATATATATATATATATAGAGAGAGAGAAACATATATATATATATATATATATATATATATATATATATATATATATATATATATATATATATATATATATCATGTATGTATATATAAAGAAAATTCTGACTTCTTCTTTTCTCAACAAACACTTTTAATTCTTTTTGAATATAAAACTAAACATTCAGCAGTTTGTTCGCCGTGTAACAATGATGGAATACTAAGCTAACGTCAACTCTGCATAAATCAAACATTTCTTATTCCTATGGGATGGAAACGAAATGAATTATAAAATATTGCCATAAAACTAATTTATTGCTTTTGGTGTAAAGATTTTATTTCCTACTATAAAAACATTGAATTGTATATTCAGTTCTCGCTTTTATAGTCATCATGAAGCAATTCCTAAATGGTGTGTGTTAAAACTTTGTTAAAACGTGCCTTCAAAAAAAATGGCGGTATACTGTAGCGAGGAAGAAATGAGAAAACCTGCCAAAAAGTCAATGTGCTTACGTTTTAAAATATTCTGTATTTTCCAGAATAATATATGCTGTTCTGTCCACTAACCTGACGTGGAACAACTACATTGAATCTATTTACATTGTTCGGACTATCATCCTTTATTGCCATATTTATCACAACGTTTTACGCTCCGGCCTCCTTCAGGTGGCTGGAACGTCGAACTGGACCCTTTATTTCGCTCACTGGGGTAGACTGTTCTAGTTCCACGTGCCATGTCTAATGGATGTCAGTTATCAGTTATCTCCTGTTAATTTCCCTCTCCAAGTTCTCCACTGCCTTAACCAGGTATTGAACTCCTTCAGTATCTGTCTATATTTCTGAGATGAGGTATTATGTACACTATTTACATTGTTCGGACTATCATCTTTATCTTTGTCGCTATATTTATCACAACGATTCGGTCGTTGTACGCTCCGGCCTTCTTCAGGTGGTTGGAACGTCGAACTTGATCCTTTATTTCGCTCACTGGGGTAGACTGTTCTAGTTCCACGTGCCACGTCTAATGGATGTCAGTTACCAGTTATCTCCTGTTAATTCCCGTCTCCAAGTTCTCCACCGCCTTAACCAGTGGCACAGTGGATTAAAAGCGTTAGTTAGATAGTGTACATAATGCCTGATCTCAGAAATATAGGCAGATACATTGAATCAATAGCTACATCTACTGCAAGGAAAGTCGGTCCACTGTGTCGCGCCAGAAGGTTTTTCTCGCCTGAGTCCATCCTTCAAATCAACCATTCGTCCTTGCATGGAATACTGTTACCATATATGGTCTGTTGCTCCTGCTGTTCCTCTCGAGGTTCTCGACAAAATCCAAAGACGGATATGCAATGTGATTGGTACTGATCTGGCATCTGTTCTACAGTTTCTTTTGTTGTTCATGATGACGGTTGTCTTTGAGTATAGAATCCAGAGGTTAGCAGTGAATATTTCGAAGACAGTAGGAATGCGTTCTTCAGGTTAGCAGTGGATATCCCGGTAAAGTAGCAGAGCGTAGTTCTTCCTTCTGTTCTTTTTCGCCTGACAAGTTGGCACTGGACATTCGGATAGAGTAAACAAAATGACCGCCTTTATACACGACGGATTGAGTATTCTACGTCTTCTGATTGGTTAACCTTCCATTGATGGACTATAAAGTGAGTCAAGTCATTTGGGTTGGCTCACTAGTAAATATATATACACAAAAAACTGCAACAACTTTCTCAAAAACGTGCTGTGGCTTCCCTCTGCCTTTTCTACAAGTACTTTCATGGTAAATGCTCCGACGAGCTACTGCCACTGGTTCCCAAACTTCCTGAATTTAAGCGTGCTACTAGATTGGCATCTAGGTCCCACCCTTTCACTATCGAAACAGTTAAATGTAACTTCTTCTTCTACTCCAACAGTTTCTTGTCTCGCACTTCCCAACAGTGGAACTCCCTTCCTCCTACTTGCTTCCCTGATAATTATAATCTTCAAATATTCAAATGTAATGCCAATTCTGTCCTTCTCTTTATCCTTTAACCAAACACTCCTCGTTATCCTTACTCTCACTCTCTGTAAACTATTGCGTGCCAGTGGCACCCCTGCTTTGCTTGGGGCTTTTTGCTTAAAAGACAAAATTCAAGATTTTAATGCAAGTTGTTGCATTCCTGTACCCAATAAGGTTCAAGTGATTTTTTCTTATAATGTATCAAAATATTTATATTATTTGTATTTTCGTTTTTATGTTCAAAAAGGCTTCTTTTTTTATCAATTCACCCCAAGTAAGGTAATAATGCCACTAAGAAGCAAGGGGCAAGTGGGAATGAAAAAGAATGGAAAAAACTTTAAAAGGAACCGTAAACCCAACCCTAAAGATGAAACAATGGATAAATCCCTACCCTATGTCCAAATGAGCGGAAAGGCGTCTAAACCGGGCAATGGGCAATTCTATCTACATAAAGCATAGAAATAAAATTTCAGATTTCAGGCGGAGACGTTAGAAATATAGTGTTGAAATATAGATTAAGAAAGAACTGGGAACCCAATCCTATATATGAAACAAGAGATAAATATCTATCCCTATTCAAAGACTGGGGAGGAGTGTGAACAGGGCGATTTCTAAGTTCCCGTTCCAGATGAATTTGTTATATTCACTTACGCGCCAATACCCTTGGGAAATGTTTGAATCCCCCCATCTTCTTCCCCCAGCTGATTAGTAAAACAGCTATCAATAAATATTTATCTCTATAAAATAAATTTTCGAACAAAATATTTAGATTTCGGCATTAAATAACCCACAGAGGTGTCGATATACCGCTAAACAAAAACAAACAACCAAAACAGAAACTATTATCTGGAATTGGGATGAAAGCACTGTTTGGATTTACTCCAAATAAGATCGTCAGGTAGGTGACCCCATCCGCTTTATTCTGTCTCTTTTGCCATTGAAACGTCCTGAGAGTGTCATATTTTGTAAGCCTTCCTTATTGGGCTGAAAAGTCGAATGATAGTCTCGTCAGATCTAATCTCTCATATAGATGTCATTCATGGGGCGCAATTTATTCGAAAATGTCTAAACTATCAGCTATAACCATTCAATAATTAAAAAGGCTTCAAGTGAATGAATATGATTCTTTATCAATACGTTTAGAGTAAAGTTTCATTCTCAAGCGATGTTTGGAATCTCGCTTGAGAATAAAACTGTACTCGAAATTTTAAGTCTAATATTAAAATTAGACTTTAGCACTTGAGTTTCAGTTTCAACACATAGTAATTACTGATTACTGTTGCGATTAAATCATATTTTTTATAAAAAATAATAATTTTAAGCTCTACATCTGTATCGAGCACTGTTTTTTTTTAAATAAAACATAAATACTAAAGAACTTTGGATCATTAATCTAACTGTTCTTTCTTTTTACATACCAATACATATATACATATATATATATATATATATATATATATATATATATATATATATATAGTTTATGAAAAATTAGGTAATCCGTATGGGTAAACCTAAGGAGGATAAAATCCAGAGAGTTCAATGTAAATCCAGAGCAAATAATTTAAATAAAAACAGAACACTTTAAGGTTCCATGTAAAAAATTATTTCACCACAGCCATTTTAATTTTTTTTTTTTTTTGTTTCAACTTTTTAAATAAAAAATGAATTAGGATCCGCAACATTTTTTAAAAGGGCTGTCTTTGGAAATAATTTATTACATCTAAAATCTTTAAAGGGCTCTGTTGAAAATTTATATATATATATATATATATATATATATATATATATATATATATATATATATATATAATTTTTTTAAAAAATATGATTCCATCGTGACACAGAAATTACAATGTTTCATAACTTGACTCAAACCCTAAAGTTGAATTTCAATATTAACATTTAGAGTAAAATTTTATTCTTAAGCGAAGTTTAGAATAACTTTATTCTAAATATCGCTTGAGAATGAAACTTACTGTCGCGATGGAATCAAATTTAAAAAAATAATAATTATAAATTAAGCTCTACTTCTATATAGAGCACTGTCTCTTTTCAAAAATAAAAATATAGTATAGATAGATAGATAGATAGATAGATAGATAGATAGATAGATAAACCTAGTGAGCTAGACAAACCTACCCACGTTTCACCTAAGCAGATCGTCAGGGAAAACCTGGGTAGGTTTGTCTGGCTCACTAGGTTTATCTAGGTCTGCTCTATGGTTGTATCGAGCTCTTTTTAGTTAGTTGTTTACTCGTGTCGGTTTTTTTGTTTCTTTTGGCTTTGAACCTGTATCTGTGCGATTTTTTCGACAGATTTTAATGTTTCTAGCTCTTTCTTTTTTTAAAACCTTTTTTTCCCTCGAGATTGATTTGATTATTGGCAAATCAAAGATTTGAGGATTTTCGAAACGAGTATAGTTATCTATATATATATATATATATATATATATATATATATATATATATATATATAAGTTTCATTAAAAACGACTGACAAGATACACCGTTTAGGTCTTTAATTTTATTTTTCTTATTTTCTTATAATTTTCTTTTTTTCTGGATGCAATTTATGTAGAAACTTCGCAAATGTTACGTCTGTCCGAGCGGTTTCGGCTATTCTTTTAGCCATTATGATGAATATGATTAACATGAATTTTCTCTAAGAAATATTAAATTAATAATCTACTATGAAATTTTTTTATACTGTTAACCGCATTGACAGCAATAATAACTGACCCTTAAGATTCAAATTACAGAAAACCAGTATTATTTACGAATTCACATGTCCCTTAAAGAACTCCTGATCAATATAAATTAATAATGGATATATAATATGTCTAACAAGAAGACTCATATTACGTCCCTCTGACCATAGACTCATTTAAATACACATGGAGACCTGCCAAACTCTATCCGTAACATACTGCTTGAAAATACAAATGCAATAGCCTCATCTACATATAAAAAAGCTAAAAATGATGGAGGCATTTTTAATAAAAAAGAAAAAACCAATACTCAGTAATATCAACTATGAACACGGCCACAATATGCTGACCGTGATTGGAAAATAAAATGTTCCTATAATTCTAGATACATACATACAACAATTCAGTTAAAAATAAAAAAAAATGAAATTATCCATAATAATAGCTAAAAGTACAGCGAAATCGCTCGGACATTTGTACAATTTCTATTTAATTTATCTCCAAAAAGAAGAGAATTATAAGAATATTAAAAAATTAAATAAAATACTTCATCGCAGTCAGTCGTTTTCAATGAAACTTGTATAAAAGAAAGATGGCTTCCCATATATATATAATCATCTCCAAACAGACTGTTTCGCAAATCATCAGTGTGGCTTCAAGCCGGGATCGAAACCCGTCTGATTTGGCAACAGTGGGAGAAATCGTATTTATTTTAAACAAAAACGTTTAATCAGAAATGTATGAATCTCCTGACGTTAAGTTATTCTGTTTCAAAATTA